CAGGCTCCAAAGGCAGAAACAGTTATCCACCAGTAGAATTTAATGACAAAAGTAACGAGAATAGTGTTATTAAATCTGAATCCACTAACAGTCGCAAAAAATACTATGAACATGGAATTGAACCCAAAGTCAACAATTCAAGAGGCTATGATTTTGCACCAGAAACTGAGTCTCATTCATACATTCGTAATATAATTACAAGAAGCAGGCAAAATCTATTCGCTGACTCGCGTGATAATGCTACAGATATGGGTGATATTGTTAGCACAGACATGAACGACAGACATTGGGATGTTAGTGGACAACTGAGAAATACACGCCAGAACACAGGTAGTGAAGAATCTACTGATCGGTCAGACAGGCGGGAGGTTTATGATAACAATCCCCGTAGTCTTATATCTAATGAAAATAAAGGAGATGCCCTAGAGAATGAAGATGCCATGAATGTGGAGAGCAATGACAGGGATCGCCTTCTAGGTGTTCAAGATGCAGGTAAATATGCCTCACGTCACACCACACACGACAAACATCGTGGGCATACATATGAGGATGTAAACATCTTGACTGGTTTAAAGAATGATCCTGGTGTTGGGGATGATGGTATGAAATTTCTAAACAATGCAGAGTACGGTAACAAGGTGACTAACATACAGTTTAGAGACAATGAAGAAAACGCAGATTTTGAACATAAAAGCTCTTCAAGTACTTCGGTTCATGCACCTATAACAGGCAGAAAACACGAAAGTGAAAGAAGCGATGGTGCATTACAATCAGGATACATCAAACCAAATACGAGAGACTATGACAGAATCAGCCTGAGGTGGTATGATGTAGGTGTCAGTCCACACCCTGTTAGGCCACCCCATCTGATCGGCATTGATTTGTCTCATGGCAGTAGATTTATTATCGACAGGCGCTACAGAAGGAATCAAAAACCACTTGAGCCAAAACCAAATTTCATCAAAGGAAGACGTAGATCGGGAAGCAAAAAGGATACCTGGTATGACAAAGCAAACACTAATAAAGAACAGAAGCCGAGTTCATAAAGACAACAAAGCGTCCACGGGAATCCGCGACAGACTTTTGAATACGAATAAAATAAATGCCGCGAATAATGTTGCTATTATATATTTAATCGTCTGTATACTAAGTAGACAAAGCTTGCAAGCATGAATAGGTGTCATATTTGAACTGAAAAGAGAGTATTCGTGGATATAAATTATAAGCGAGTTTAGTGACTATGATTCCATGCATGTAATTAAAACCGATGAATTGTTTCACAAGAACGGATGTATTCTTATAACAAGTCAAATCTTCTTATTGGTATATCAATAAAGGTTCAGAAGCAACCAGAGCTGGGTTTTTTTTTTTTCTTTTCTCTTCTTCATTTGACAGAATGCAAAGTGGCGAGTACATTTCTTGATTTTAACACAGAACATTATCAAACAAGCGTAACATCTGAGTCGCATACATTAATACTGTACATATGCTTTTATACTAGCCTGTGTTTGTGTGTGTGTGTGTGTTTATCTAACCAGCATTCATGCAGCAAGATGTAGTGATACCGGGACCGAAACATGACACGTGTTTCGTGTGTGTAGATATGCAACAAAAAGTTTCCATCAACATGCTTTATATTCTCCACTAAATCATATCGTGCCCCCTACCAACTAACAATTTGGCTGTTTCCAGAATCTCCAACCATCACCTTAACATCCCCGTTTGCACCCGGACACTTAAAAACACAAAGAGAATACTGGGAGCTCCCACTCTTACAAATATTATATTAAAGGGTAGGACCTCAAGGGACCTCATTCCTAGCTTATAAGCGTAATAATAATTACAATACTGTGTAGAGTAGTAAATAAATACAGTGATACCTCGATATACGTTCACTATGGCATGCATTCAACTTGGTATGGGTCCTGTTTAGAAGCGAAAACTTTTGCTTGGAATACGACTCCTGTGCTAGAAAACGTATGAGCAAAAATTAGGCACGACACGTCGCGTTTTCCTTGTTTACTTCTCTCAAGACTAAGTCACGGACAGAGGTCAATGATTCTGCAGAGACGTATCGCCCCAAAGAAGTTCAAATAAGCCATAATAGCGCTGTCATGGATGACCTGACAATGTCACATATGCGATACATCACGAGAAAACTGAAACAAAGTTTTTTTGGGACATAATTTTGATAGTAGTCAACCCTGATAAGCCTCAGCCAGATCCAAGTAATAAAAGCAGGCAGATGAGAGAGAGAGAGAGAGAGAGAGAGAGAGAGAGAGAGAGAGAGAGAGAGAGAGAGAGAGAGCGAGAGAGAGAGAGCGAGAGAGAGAACGAGAGAGAGAGAGAGAGAGAGAGAGAGAGAGAGAGAGAGAGAGAGAGAGAGAGAGAGAGAGAGAGAGAGAGAGAGAGAGAGGGGGGAGAGAGAGAGAGAGATCATAATTTCAAATTCCTGAAGTTTTCTTGAAAGGGAACTCTTCTCTTTCATTCCCAGCTTAGTACCATCCTAACAGGCAGTCCACTTTTCTCGGAAAAGTAAAGAGAGGTTATTTTTTATTTTTTTAATTTCATCAAACCGCTTTTTCTTTTAGTAATGTGCAGTATAAAAATTATTGCATAAAACCCAATAACTGTATAATATGCGAACAGCAAAAGGATTTTTCCTTCTCATGGGAACTGATTAGTCTTTCTCTTTTAACTTTGTGTTTGGTGTATGTCCAAAAGGTTTGAGCAAAATAAGTGCGTTTATCGATGTATCCACTGTTTATAAAATATGTGAAATGGTTGAAATCTATAAACACACTTTTGATACATAGTTAAAGGGACCACTAAACACTCTTAAGCTACCCCCCCCCCCGCCAATTTAAATTGTATGGGGTTTGGGGGGGGGGGGGGTGTCCATTAATGATCCAAGACCCCTTCCTTAAGGGCTTATTTCAAATTAGTCTGTGTAGTATTGTTTCATTTGTATGTGCTGATAAATGCTCAATAGCCGCATCGTTCACGTTTTGTATTATTTATATTGTGAAGCTTGCTTATATACTTTTCGTTCGGTTGTATATCTTTTCTTGTTATTTCAAATTAGGGAAGCATTTACTTTTGAATTATCCAAACTTTTTTTAACAATAATTTGAGGGACAAATATACACACACGCACACACACAATCTATCAGTCCTCCCAAACCTACTGGATAGAACTGCATGCTCTGTTTTCTAAACCACATATTTACAGCACATTCTGTGTCCTTGTGAAAATGTTACTCACCGCTTTACGGGATAAAAATTTGTAAGCAGCAACTAAAAGCAATTCGTTATAAATGACCTCTGCAGGCAGCCATTCAGCCCCCCCCCCTCCCCTTTCCCGCCTTCCCCGTGTGTACCAATTAGAGCAACGAGACAGACAAACTATGCAGGAGCTTCCCATTGTTATTACATCAGACAGAACAGAATGGTAGTTTTTAGTCTAAAAACACTTAGAGACATTCTCAATAGGAGACGAGAGCACTTATGTTCATGTCCGATGTGCTATAAGGATGATCTTAAAATAAACAACGAAGAATTAGCCCTGAAGCAGCGACTGATCCTTAGATTCATTCGATCAGAGCAGACCACCAGTCGAAGAGCATTGGTCTATTACACATTAGATTACAGGATGACAGAAAAAGCACATGGACGAGGCGACAATATCTTGGAGGTTGTTGATGTGCTTTGAGATTTTTGACATTAAAATCATAATAGGTTTTTTCTTAATGCCATATATGCAGAAGTTCGTTGAGAAAGTACATAATTTGAAAAAATGTTATACTCATTTTGAAAATCTACAACAGTGTTTATTAGATTCTTTGATTTGTGAGAAAATATGGGGATGGACTTTAAGAAACATTCCACAGGCCCACGCACTTTACTGTATCGGGCAATAAAAATCAGTTGATATAATAATGCTATGTCTGAAGTGGAGTCTACACTTGTTGAACATGCTCTGACTCTTGTACTTCTTCAGAGATAGTATCAAAAACCTGGTGTCCCATTCATTCAATACTTTTCTCACAAATACTGGCAGATAAATAGGAAATATTTTTTAAAATAAATTTCATATATTTTGAGGTGTTCTTCCAAGAAAGGGTCAGATTCACTCAACAGCTCTAGCATACTCAAATAGTTGTCAGTTTGTGCTGATCCAATAATGTCAGTTTCTCTTCGAAATGACAAACCTCTAGAGGTAAGAAAGCGCCTTACAGAAATCGCACGCGTACACACTTTATGCTCTGAGTGACGTCATATATATATATATATATATATATATATATATATATATATATATATATATATATACATATATACATATATATAGAAAGAGAGGATGGAGAAGGAGAATTTAGGTTTTATTTTACTTAGAATTAATTTTAACGTTTTAACACACACACACACACACACACACACACACACACACACACACACATATATATATATATATATATATATTGTTTTTAAATTTATGGCAAGTCACTTTGCATACATTAATTAGCATGGGCCGCTGTTCTCGTGGGGCACCCGGGTAAGTGCCCATCGGATCCATATGTTAAGACTGTCCCGCTTGATTGAGAGATTAGAATCAAACATAAATTCTAAAATCTTAGAAACGCTGTTTAATCGTAGAAGACCGTTATTTTGGGGCCCTGCAATACTATTACGAAGCCACCTGTAGTCCAAAGTTGGTGAGTGTGCAGATGTATTCAAAACTAATAGGTTGTCTCATACCAAATGCAGCACTACCTTAAAAATAGAGGACTATTTAGTCGAAGATGAGAATCCACGACGCAAACGAGAAGGGAAAGCACTCTACATATTTCTCTTTCAGTCAGAATTTTTTCGTGTAGCGAACTGTTCGATACATAATATTAGTTAGTGACTGAACTGTTTTTTTTTTTTCAATTCTGTTTGCTCAGTAATACATTATCATGAAAACAGGTATTTAATTATTTAAATATGATATTAAGTTCATGACAATGGGTCAGACGGGGTCAAGTGTATCCAAGTTGATAACACAACCAATTTCATGGTTTCGTGGGTCGAGGCAAGTCGATGGATCAGGTGAACCCGGAGGACTGATTCCGAAAGGAGCTGCTATATTTGTTTTCAAGAGAAAAGGGTATTTTAGATTCTACATTTCTACATATATTGATTTATTTTGATATTATTAAAAATTTTTAATCACCACTTTACCATGCAGTTTAAATAATTACATACATATTTGATAATTTTTAAATTAATGATTTTTAATCATCATATAATTAAAAATTTATTAAAATTTAGGTAAAGAGGCAGTCTTTTGAAAGTGAAACTAAACTGAGGCCAACAACAAGCAACACATATAATCATATATGTTTTGTCTGTAAATTTGTTTGTTTGTTTTATGTTTGTTTTTCAGTTTTTAATTGTTTAATAACATTTCTGTGATGTGTGTGAGTTTAATATATTTAAATAAATTATGAAAGTTTGATGGAGCTTTGCTTGCTAATGCTTACTAAATGTAACTCAGTTTACATTAAAAAGTAAAGTTTGCATGTTCACTAGATGTTAGCTTATTTAGCTGACAAATTAAGGAATGAAATGTGCTGTCAGTTGGTCACTCAGCTAGGGTCAAAAGCCACTTCTCTCTTGCATGATGATTGGCTTGCTTGTCTGGTACTTGCCAGCGAATGAATGCCAGCACTTGAGATTCACCACCATGCCTGAACTCACTGTACTTTAAAGAAAAGTAGTGTCTTTTGTGACCTACTTATTTGTTGAATGTATTCTTACATCCGGTTGCTTTAATAACTTTCATATGTTTGAAAATACAGCCTGCGCCCTCTGATAAAATAACATCCCAAATTAGCACTATCATTAAAATTCCTCAAGTCTCCACATTTCACATTTTAACAAAGCGTTTCATTTTATTTCAGTAGTATACCCTATATGCAGAATAATTCTAACAGCATATAACTATAACTTTACTTTCAATGACTTAAAGAAAAAAGGAAAGAGAAACTTTTTTTGAAATAACCATCTTATACATCATCATCATCATAAACCACTTCATGGGGAGGAATAATTTGTGATCCAGTGCACGTTGTCATGCCATGAAGGCATAGTGTCTTTAATGTTGTCGATCCATGTTTTCCTGGCCGCCCTCTTGCTCTTGTAGCTGATCATCTGAAATGTAGTGCTTGTGATGGTATTTGATCTTGCGGCATTCTAACAAGATGGCCGAACCACTTAATCTGTTGTTTCTCGATGAATCTAGTACAAGGTGTCATTCCCACAATTTGCCTGATATTTTCATTATTCACTCCACTCGATCTAACCATCTTATAAAGCACATAATTGTGGACTCTGAATATTCAGCTATAAAAACAAACAAACTTGTCTACCTTTGAATCATGACCTTAATCATAGAAAGAGACTAACCATCAGCCAGAAATATCCTCAGTTGTTTACATTATCAGTGTCTTGTGTTGAATGTAAATTACTGTAACAAGTATTGATTTGTTATTAATGTATGTTTTGTCATCAGTATTAAAGATGTTAAGCCACATTGTGTTATAGATGTCTTCTTATTCTTTGCATTCACCAGCTGTAAACTATGATGGAAAGTTTTGGTTGTTCGTCTACTTCTGGACTGTAGTCCTGTTCCAGAAACTGAGTGTTGTGTGTGCATCTGTTTGACAGATCTGACAGATTTATGTGCAGACTGTTGGTTCCTTGCCTCTCAGGCTGATACACTCCGACTTCGGAGGAAGCTCTAAATTAGTTGACTCTTACGACATGCTTTTTGGTAGGCAGTGGGTCTATTCTTGTTTTCCCTATAATAGGGCCCTGGAACCGACACAGGATGGTATAGATGTCATGACTGAAGTAGGTCTCGGGTGTCTCTTAGTTCTGAGCAATAGGTACATGTAAACATTACATTTGTTGCCCTGCAAGCATACCATTTTGTCCCTAGTCAGGTTTGTCTACAGTTTCTCCTGACCATTGCTGGTTTTGTTACGTGAGATTTCTCTGGAACTTGTGACTGACTGTGTTTGTATTCAATATAAATAATGTTTGGTGACACAGCATTATTAGATTTTAGTATGCTGTTACTCATGGCATATTTAAAACCAAGAAAGGCATATTTTAAATACGATAAGGATAGAACTGTAATAGAATATTATTTGAAATATTTTTGAAAAGCATTGTGTAAATATTAAGTTGTAATTGTTACAGTACAAATCTGAAATTAACAGATGCCACAGAAATTATGTAGGCCCCATTTTGTGTTTGATGTGATGGGTAAATTGGAAATGGAATTGTGTCATTACTTAATTTTCTGATTTTCTAAAACTCTTTTTCAGTTCAATGTTCTTTGATGAGGATGGGGATCTAGCTCATGAGTTCTACTGTGAAGTCACAGATCGTCGAACTAACAAGGTTGTCATGAGGCGCATTTTGAGCAATCTTGTTCCACAGGTGAAGAGCTGAGTTTTATTCCATCATTACTTGCTTTATGTTCGTTGTGAAATTATATTTCCATCCAGCGTAAACAGTGTCAAAATCAGGGAAATCAAGAGGTTATTGAAATAGTGTAAGGAGTTGTACAGGTATTTACTGGCACTTATTGTGTAAAAATCCATGTGTGGATTCCAAGGCCCTATTTTGAAGGGACAAGAATATACTCACTGCTCTCTAACAAGCATGTTGTAAAAGACAACTAATTTGGGTTTTTCTTTGAAGTCTGAGTGCATCTGCATGAGAGGCAAGGAACCAACAGTCTGCATACAAATAAACCTTATTGATAAAATGAATATGCACACAAAACTCAAGTTCTGGAGCAAGACCAAAATCAAGAAGTGGACGAACAACCAGAACTTTTCATCTGAGTTTACAGCCAGTGAGCGTTAAGAGAGGAGAAGTAGAGAATATAGACAAAACAAATAGATAAAGATGTTAGAGGCATACAAAGATTCAAAACTACGATATGCAAATGATCATAGCTCTTTGCCGAAGGTTTCAGGGTACTTTGCATGTCCAATGAATGGTCAGGTGCCTGCCAACTGAACTCCAGATCTTGCAGTCTCCAAGAGGGGTCTTCTTATATTTGATTTTACAAGAAGAGCCAGAGTAGCTGCAGACAAAAAACACCTCCTGCATGAAACTCTGGGTAGAGCTGCAGACAAGAAACACCTCCTGCATGAAACTCTGGGTAGAGCTGCAGACAAGAAACACCTCCTGCATGAAACTCTGGGTAGAGCTGCAGACAAGAAACACCTCCTGCATGAAACTCTGGGTAGAGATAAGTGTCACAGATTGAAAAGAGGAAGGTCTTGGATGGCCCAGTCTGAAGACACAATGAAATGTTTGCGCACTTGATAAATTTGGGCAAGGAGAGGAGTGGGTCAGATTGTCCAAGCAAGAATCAGACTTCAAGTGGTGGGTGCAGGGAGTGGCCAGCTGGTGATGCAGAATCAGGCCTGCAGATTCATGACAATTCCTGCCCAGGTAATATGATCATCTATACTGATGGCTTTGTTGTGAGGGGTAGATAAAGTGCATGGGGGTTCTTAGCAAAAGTTAATGGACATCGCTTAATGCAACAAAACGTGGCATATGTATTACAGGGCCTAGTTTGAGAATGGAGGTGAAGGCAGTCACTGCTGGCTTGGGAATCTGTTGTACACACATATCGTAATTGTAACTGACTCGCATAGTATTTTGAAAAAGGTGGCAAGCATTGCCACAGATGTCTCGAGTAGTTAGCGTTATTTGAATATTTTCTCCCAGTTATGCTGATATGTTGGGAAATGAGCACGTATCTAGACTGCACCATTGGGTGTTGAATTGATGTATTATAGGCTAGATGTGAGGGCCCTTTAAGAGCGTGTGAACAGTGTGGAGGCACAAATAGACCGTTACAGTCTGAGGAGAATGGCACTGCTGGGAGTTACTAGGGGATCTGGCCTACGCTCAACACTCAAGAAAAAGATGAGATGAATGCACGGTCAGACAGTTACTGGTGTCACTGGAATTGAAACTCGCTTGCTGTTAAAGATGGGGTCGTAGTGCTTATGGGACTGTCGTGAGTGCTATGATGTTGATTTTAATGAACAAGCAGAGCCACTGCTAGAGCTATGCACTTTTAAAATAAACAAAAATGCTACCACACAGAAATAAACAGATTGGCAACTTTTGAGGCAGTAGAAACATTGTATAAATAATAAACAAAGAGAGACAACATAGATTGGCACTCATAGAAAGAAATAGAAAAATAGGACACATTAGACAACATGAAAACCAAAAGCTATAGTTACCATGTCAGCATCAAAGCTGTCACCTCAAAATGATGACAGCACTTCACTGCAGAAATTAGTGTGCTTAGTTAAGTCTTTCATCTGAGTACACTGGGTTTTTTTTTTCCCACTGAGGTGCTGTCGTCACTTGAAAGAGACAGGTTTGATTGTGACTATAGCTTTCAGTTTTTATGTTGTCTGATATATCTGTACTTCTCTATATGCGTGTGCAAATCGGTCAATTGTCTGTTTATTATTTACAATGTGACCACACCTTGTTTGAGCTATTAAATGCTAGTAGACCAGTGCACAACTTGCTATGCTCCCAAATTCCCCATGTTTTCCAATTAATATAATTATAGATTTCAAGTATAGATAAAAAAAAATAAACTCAACTGTTCCAATAAAGGTGTTTCGTTGTTTTTATAATCAAATTTTAGGGAGAAGTGGAACTTCCATATCCTCGTTTGCATGGGGATTTACCTGTGATCATGTTTGATACCTCAAACTTGCAGCTGCATCCATCCTCACATGTTTGATACCATGGGGCACACCCTGGATCAGTGCTACAGTGTATTCTTCTAGTTAGTTTGGGCACATGTTTATGCTGACTCTTAACATATGTTTGCTTACTTTCATGTTTAATTTTACTACTGCGTTGTGATTGAATGATTGTCCCCCCTCTCATCTTGAGTCTGCAGTTGACTTTATTTATATTTTTGAATATATGGCACATGGGAGCCACCATGGTGTAGCGGCAAGATGCTTGCCTGCGGATCGGAAGGTCTTGGGTTTGGGTCCTGACAGAGCCAGATTTTTTTTTTTCAAAAATGACCTCTGCTCCCAGGTTGACCTGGCCTTGAAGGGGTACCATGTATACCCTGGGAAGTGAAGGCGGTCGGCGTGATCATAACCACATCAGCCATGAAATGCCGATTGGTCTAAAAAATATAGGTCTAGCTAAACATGCCTGAAGCCATGAAACATTTATCCTTTACTTTTTTGTTTTTAGAAATGTGGCACATTATCGTTGCAGAATTATCTTCTAATTAAAAAAAAAAATATGTGTTGTTTCTACAGTTAAGGTTGGTTACTGTCTACCACTGTTGTTTTTGGAAATATTTAGTGGTGAGGCCCCAATCTCTTCCGCAGTGTGAATCTCATGCTACTGCCTGAAAACCACCAGAATGCTTGTTGTTTTTCTCAATTGCTAACCATAGGGAACAATCTCGAAGATCATGAAAATGTTCACTGATTTGTTAACCTCTAAACCACGGAGCCACACGTGTTCTGATATAAACCCTGTAATTCTCTAATGCATTTTTGTAGGACAGAAGGTAAAGTACTCGTGTCCACACCTTATATATGGCTAGACCTATATTTTATAGATGAGTCTGCACTTACAATACAATGTTGTAAACATCACCTCAGCCACCTTTAGTTTCCAAGACTTTACCTAGTACCAATTTAAGGCTGTGTTGACCATTTGTGTGTGTGGTGGCAGTGATAATTTTGAATGGGTTAGAAAATATTTTTGGTAATACAGAAAAGAAAACCTGAAGTTGAAATAAGGAAATATTTTCTACATTTGTGTATAATGATGAGTCACAATGAAGTGTTTAAGAATAATTTCATTAACAAAAAACATGAACCTATTCTTCAGACCACGAGCTTATTTGAATATTTATGTGATTCATCTTTTGCTTTGCATCTTCTCTATTAACTGGCTAATTTATATTATCCTCCAAATACCATACTGTTTAAAACAAGAAATGCATTGTTATCTGGTGGAACAATTTTATTAGTTGAGAAAGCCGAAAAACTTGATGAACCAGATGCAAAAGAATTGTCCGTTGATTTTTTCTTGTTCTTGTGGGAATTTTGAAAAATTCCATTAATTAAATTACAAAGATTTTGAGTGTCAAAATTATGTTCCTTTTAGCAGCTGCGTGTATCCTTTTGTGATGTGAGTAATATATTTTCAGCCAGAATAAAATATTTTATGTTCTTGGTCCAGTGACCTGTAGTGATGCAAATAACTGTTTATTGGCTGTTGTCTTGTTATATATGAATGCATTTGATTGACCAGCTTTTCTCATAATAACTGTCAACACATTGTTGCAGAAACTTGAGTGAAAACCAAATATAGACAGAATTGCTTATTGCAGATCTGTACTTTGTGTGTTAACCTCCCAGAAAGCTGAGGTGTGCATTTGTATATGTGATTTTAGTGATTGTATTTCATTTTTTTTATCAGCTTTGACATCACAGAAGAAGAAAGGCAGTTATAGAGCTGTTATTCACTTTACGCATGAAACATTATTCAGAAAGGTCAACAGAATATTTTGCAGCAATGACTATTCAGGTTAAATAGAATTGGAATGTTGTGTAAAATTATGAAAAATCACACTTTTATACTAAATTTTGTCAGAATAAATGTAATATGTTCATTGGGACATTTGCTTGTATGCAGAAGAATGTCATATTGTTGTATTTTCACAGGTGTCCGATAATGACTTGTGTGAACAAACAGTACACCATAGCAAGGCTTTTTTAAAACTTCAAAAGCTCTGCAGAAAAGGCAGTATTTTGTTTCTTTTAAAAAAAGTTTAAAAAATCTTGACGCATTCTTTTGGTTTTAGATTATTAAAAACAAAAACACATTTGGCAACCTATTTTATCCTCCCACAGAATAGCAGAGATTGTGAAATCATTGTCATAGTCATAGCATAGGATGGTATTAAGTTGCAGTGTTGTACATTCTGCATGTTAGCAGATTACAGTAGAAAATTCCAACTGAGAAAATATAAAGCTGACAATTATTTCCAAAATTTGTCTGCTGTATAATTGTAAGAAATCCTTACCTTGCTGCAAAGTTTGTCAAAAAGACTTTCCAAAACCCAGTGAAATCAGACCAACAAAAAACAACTCGGTGCCGCACGGTCACTTTTGTCAAGTCCTTATGATCAGTTATGACACTATCAGAATCTTCTGCTTGTCCTGTCTGATCATTCTGTTTGTATTTTTGGGTTACGTATTGTTTATTTTTGAATTTGTCAACACAAACAGTGATTGTTCCTCAGTGAAATAAAAGTGGAATTGAGAAATTATTGGTTAGTACAGATTATCAGCACACTCTGATCTCCATAAGTGTAAAGTGACCGATGACGTCTGTTCTGTGTTGGTTAATGAAACATCTTGTTCCCCATGGTGGAATATTCATTTCTTGCAGCTCCAGGCTGCACTCCCATGTCCATCAGCCTAGACAGGGGTACAGAGTCATGCCCTTTAAAAGTTGGGAAATAAGGCATCACATGCAGAATTAAGTGGCTTTTTCATACCGCTTTTTAAAAAAAATCAGGAACTATTTGAACTGCACTGGGTTATGCTGTTACAAGCACTGGGTTGTGCTGTTACAAGCCCTGGGTTATGCTGTTACAAGCACTGGGTTGTGCTGTTACAAGCACTGGGTTATGCTGTTACAAGCCCTGGGTTATGCTGTTACAAGCACTGGGTTATGCTGTTACAAATCAAAATCAATGAAATAAAATTAAGCTTTGTGTCTAAAACGTGGAGTTATTTTAAGATGTGTCTGCATTAAATACTATTCTTGTTTTACTGCAGAGTTTTAAGGGTCTGTAATTGTGGACAGAAAAGAGCAGTTGTTATTTTTACATATTTTATATTATTTGATCTTCTTGACTATTTTAAAATATTTGCTTACCTTTCTGTAAATATCTGAAAACCTGCCAATTGTTAAATCCACTAGCCAGGTTTGCATTGCTATCAGTGTCAAGTTAATTATGATGTCTTGTGATGATAGTGACTATGAGAGGAATATTACTTTTGTTGTGATAAAGTAGAATATTGTACGTCTCTAGATGCTGATGTTGCAAGCTGGACATCATAGTTTAACAATGCCAGAAAGTTTATCAGAGTCGATTTTTCTGTGTTTTATTTGACAGTGGTCATTGTAGATATCAGTATGTTGATATATTTCTTGTTGTCTTCAATATTGCTAACTGTCAAGTAAACACAGGTCTCGTATGTTAACTTGGTGTTACTACTAGTCACATTTTTCCGTTTATTTGTCACAATAATGTAACAAGGACCTGAGATCATGCCTAGAATTTCCATTGTGTTGCTGTTCTGTTTATAACTTGTGTTAGCTTTTGTGTTTTATTTTCAGTTTGTCCTCAATGAATGCATGCATCAAACATCATTGAAAAATACATCCTTGCGGAGGGAGTCGAATATACATACTGCCCTCTAACAAACACCTTGTAGAATCGACCAATGAATGAGGCAGGTTTCCTTCAAAGTCAGAGTGCATCTGCCTAAGGTTTTGGAACAAGCTTAAAGACCAGAAGTAAATGAACTAGAACTTTCTGCTGGAGTTTACAGCCAGTGAACACAAAGAAGGATAAGAAATCACCTGACTAATGACACTAAGGCAGGATAGCTTGCAGTCACTGCTCTCCACAAAACTATTCCAAGCAACAGCAATAAAGTGCACATATTTGCTGGTTTGTTTGTCACTGTATCACCTGAAGCTGTTAGAACTGCCATACAAGATTTCTCAGTATTGAGAAATTTAGAGACAGGTTGGCTCCATGCAGAGTGGCAAGCATCGATTCAGAAGTTCTGAATAATTAGTGTCCTTAAGATATTTTTACAGGGAAGGCAGGTGAAATAGGAAATTATTATCACAAATCAGCGTCTTTGCACAGTGGGCATCCCCAAGCGTGCTCAGTCCTCTAATGCAGCAGTCACTCTAAGGTACCTCTACTGATTGTTCCTATGAGTTGGTTATACGAGAGGTTCTGGCAGATGCTCGAGGCTCTGAGGAAAGGCAAGATGGACGTTTAATAGTAATGCTATACCATTAGTATCAGAACTCTTCACTGGCTGCTGAAGATGGGGACGGAGCGCTTATGGGAATGCCCAGAGTGCTGTGATGTCGGTTCTTGAATCAAATCAATCAATCAATGAGTTGGTTATAGTATCTCCTGTCATTACCTTGAAGATGGCATAGACGTGCTCCACCTCAGTCACGCAGTTGTGTTAGCATCAAAGATTCACTGTTATTCCCAGCCTGGTCCATACAGTGTTGATGATATCAGCTTTTGTCTATGCTTCTTCCCATTTGCTTTGATGCATTACTTGCCAGCTGGTCAGCTCATTGATTACCATTTACTCCTGCAATGTATATATCCAGATGATGAAGGTTAACTGCGACTTTTGAATGCTTTCTACCCATTTGGAGCGTAGACTTCCTGTAGCGATTTTCTGAAGCATGTTCATAAAGTCCTAAATTATTACCACAAATGTGGTTGCTTGTTCTGCTACCATGTGAGTGCTCTGGAAGCAGCAGTTATCTCCATGGTCATGCTTGACGTAGTTGTCTGGTAAGCATCGCTATCCTCTTTGATTGTTTTCCGCATCATTTGTGCTGTGTATGCCCATGCCGACTCTTGATCCTTGCTTCATGGACCCATCTGTGTAAATAACGACATCTTCTGGGCCTGATTCCTGAACA